TAAATCTTATACAAGTATACTTGTATATTGCGATATTTTTTATAAATCTTCGGTATATAAAAGGAAAATCCGACCAAGATCGCCATTGGCGACGATATTAACCACAATACCATATAACATAATCAGATTTTGATATGAAATGGTTATAATCATGACGAAAATCAATTAAATTTTATACTTTTATCAAAAATTTATCCATTTATTTAAAAATGGAATTTTTAAAAAGCCTAAACACAACAAGGTATTAAATATTCTTATATTAAATCTCGATATAAATTTCTTCAAAGTGTAAAGATATATATATTTAAAAGGAGTAGCGTTATATTGTGAGCCACTTTTATTTTTCAATATATATTAAATGTTTAACATTTCTAACTCTAACAATAAAATTTATATATTTCTAAAAGTCTCAAGCCAACTTTGTTTTTCCAAGACATTGCGTGTCTTTATTAACTTCTGCTATGATATAAAATACGTTATAAGAGTTTTCTCTTCTTGCTCTGTAGCCCTTTCAATAAATTGTCTGGGTTAGAAGATGCGCATTGTGTGTTTTTACCAGGAATTTAAAAATTTCTGTGATCTTGGGTTTTACTTTTAGATTTTGTAAAACAGAGCTCGCAATCATATATCACATTAAACATTTTTTGAAATAATAAATGACTTCAATGGCCCTGTTGGTAAATTGTAATATCTTGGTGTCACTGGATGTGACGTGGCCGACCTGGAAAACAAAGAAGATAAGAAAAGGCCCTCGCCAGTTAGAGCTAGACATAACCACAGTTGTAATCTCTTGTTAGTTAAAAATAAGTTTCCTTCTTTACAGTAACTACTGGCCTTTGTCATTGGAGTAACAAAAACATAACAGACATTTTCTGAAGAATAAAAAAAAAAGTATTTTTTATAAAAGAAAGCTCCTTTATTCTTTAAAGGCGATTAACATAACTAGGAAGTATAAAATTAAAAGCAGCTACATAAGCTAAATAAAAGTAGGTACACGCAGCTCTCACCTAACAATTACCTGACCTGAACCTGACCTATCTTACTCACACACTCAAAGTTGTATTATATATATATATATATATATATATTTCTTACTCCTTAAATCAGGTATCTCTTCCTTAATTATGTATTTTTATTGTTATTGTTCATAAGCACAATTAAAGCTAATTCTGATCTAAACTGTTTTTATTTATATTTTCAAGATTTTCCACGACTGCATACCAATACCATTTAGTACCAATGTGCTCAATAGAACCAGCAAATATCAAAATAATATTCATGTATCAAGAAAATGATCAATAATTCTATAAAAATATTCTAAAATCAATAGAAACTCTTTTTCGTTAAATATGTATATGCAAATTAGCACAGATGACAATACATATGGTCAAATATATTCACTATAGATTAATACTTGATAGAAATATTATAGAATTGTTACTTTCAACGGCCCTCATGGCCCGAATGTGGTTTTCTTGTCAAAGTGTTTCTGGGCTCGAAAATCAACGCTTCAGTTAGTAGCCCGTAAAACCATATTCTCTTTTGCCAAAGTATGTCGAACTGATTTCTATTCTTTAATTAAAAAAGCCCCACCAATTGCTGAGAGTAAATTTTAATTAATTCATAATCAAAAATTGGCAATTTAACAAGTCATTAATTATTAGTTCTACGTGTCTAGAGCCGTGTGATGGATTTACAGTAAAAAAGGCAAACGCAAAACCCCAGCCAACCCTGATCATCATGGCCTGTGTCATGAAATGGCGAAAATAATTGTAAAAATAACCAACAACAAGACTTCGTGTCAATATATCATAGAAGGTATCGCCTCTTTAGAAATTATTCTGCCAAGTATTTGTACAGTTCTTGATCATCATCGTGTTTAATGAGAAACCCAGCTGAATACAAGGTGTGTCCAATAAATAATGAGACCGGTCAAAAACAAAGAAAAAATTAAATGAATTTTTTTTTTAAAAGTGTCTATTTAAAAAATATATAGAAAGCTTCAGCTACACTGCGGTATATTACATCACGTGATTGCGCGAGCAGTCGATAAATTGTAAGCTTGTAAAAAGAACGCCTTGCATAACAACTTCTAATTTGTAATGGATAGAAAATTCGAACAACGAATTTGTATTAAATTTTGCTAAAAAATTAGGAAATCGGCTTCAGACACTTTAGATTTGTTGAAATTGGCATTTGGAAATGGAAATGTAAAAATAAACAACTACAAGACTTCGTGTCAATATATCATAGAAGGTATCGTCTCTTTAGAAATTATTCTGCCAAGTATTTGTACAGTTCTTGATCATCCTCGTGTTTAATGGGAAACCCAGCTGAATACATGTATATAGAACATATCTTGAATCTGAGTTTATAGACTAGTCCACTCTCGCTGACACGGAAAATGTCATTCTGGTTATTAATTTGTGTGGCTTAGTATACATACAACTAAAATTTAATCTCATTTATAGGTGAATACATTTTCATATCAGTACAATAATACAAATATTTATATCTGTATACAATAATACTGATATTTTTATATCCATACAATCGCACATATAAGAGTATAACATAATTAAATATTATAAAGAATTTCTAAATCAGAAATCATGAAATTATATTTCAAAATATTTATTCAATATCCACAAAGATTGTCTCCTAAAAATCGCAATCATAGATAAAGTCAAGGGTTCTTTAGCTTCCTCTATTTTACTCAATTATCTAGGAGAAAGCAGTAGCATTGAGGTTTAATTTTGTTTTTTTTTTTCATGTAATTACGATATATTTATTGAAATTCCATTTGAGTATATAAATAATTCTTATATTGAGTTGCATTTTATGTTATTCTATTGCAACGTTTTATACTTCTTAAAATTCCTACTATTCTTTTTTTATATACTTGGATTTAATTAAGTCTCAATAGACAGACAGATTTGTTTCTACCGAGGAAGCCAAAGCCATTTTAATTTCTCTCCGTTGATTTATGGTGAAATTAGTTAGTACCGAGATGGGAAAAACTTTTTGATTCAATATAATCTCAATAAATAAATGAAATATATAAAAGAGAATATAAGGACAACAATGCAGATGATGGTGATAATCATTTAATATAATGTCTTTATCATTTCTTAAAACACTCTGCAGTTATTTTCCTAAAGGATTGGACCTTACGGCTTGTAAATCTTATAGATTCAAGCGTGCTGTTGCCAAGAGTTCAAATAGTATCGCTTACAATTGAATCATCATTTCTGCAGCGTGGAGAACAGCTTCACCATCCTGGCACCGAGAAAATCTGTTATCCCATGGAATCCCATGACTCAAACACATGGGTATAAACTGTCATCTTTTTGGAAGGAATCCCCTGGTTCGAACACGGCTATAGAAACTGCCATCTTATTGGATGAAATCCCATGGCTCGAACATAGCGGTAGAAACTGTCAAATTATTGGACTGAATTTCTTTGCTTGTGTGTGAACATAGCGATAGAAGTTGAATCCTATTGGACTGAATCCCATGGCTCGAACATACCGGGAGAAACTGTGATCGTATTGGATTGAATCCCATGGTTCGAACATAGCGGAAGAAACTGTGATCTTATTGGACTGAATCCCATGGCTCGAACATAGCGGGAGAAACTGTGATCATATTGGACTGAATCCCATGGCTCGAACATAGCGGGAGAAACTGTGATCTTATTGGACTGAATCCCATGGCTCGAACATAGCAAGAGAAACTGTGATCTTATTGGATTGAATCCCATGGCTTGAACATAGCGGTAGGAGCTGTCATCGTATTGGACTGAATCCCTTGAATCAAAAACCGGTAAGTCCTGTCATCTTATTGAAAGGAATCTCCTGGTTCGAACACATCGGTAAGTACTGCCATCTTATTGAATGAAATATCTTTGCTCTATAATCACAGCGATAGGAACGTTAAAATCACTCGTGTGGTGAAATCACTTTTGTATATCTTGTGGTTTTCTCATTTTGTAAGTTCCCAAAATATGCATCAGGTGGAAATTTCGGCTTTAAGTTAGGCTCAGAATCTTTACGGCTGAACATACTCTTTAGACATTTTCAAATTATATCATGAAAAGTAAAGAGCCACGGACTTAGCTCGAAACTATGGTGGACATTTAGAAATTGTCTGAAGCTGTGACTTTGGCACGAAGACATCGATGGTAACTAAATTTTTCAAACAATAACGTGCAATCTATATACAGGAAATGAAAGCATTTAAGCAAAAATGTTTCTTTTACACATAAAACATACTTCTACTCTCCTTAATGCGATGGAAAAATATTTAATCTACCAGACCGCTTCTTAGAGATCTAATACTCTATTGGACGATTCTGCTTATATATGTCGCACTGAAGGGTGGATTATTAGATATGGTATTCAAGTAAACTATGGGAATAAGATTTTAAGAAAGTATATTTAACACAAAGTAATAACGCGCCATCTATACATATAAAATGAAATGATTTAAAAGCACGAATGTTTCTTTTATACACAATACAATACTTTAAAAGATTGTCTCTCTCCTTATACTGCCATTTTTAAACCTACAAATTCTTAAAAAAACAACAATGATTGTGGTGAAACTTCATCATACAACACGGCATACTCTCGTACGTTTGTACGTTTCAGAAATGCAACCAAAGCGTAACATTATATCATATATATACCGCCCAAAAACAAAATCACTGGCCATCATATATTTTGGTGTGTTAATAAAGTATTATATCCTTCCTTATATATATAAAAATGAAATGCGAAATCGATGTTTGTTATCGCATCACGCAAAATCTACTGACTCAATCATTATGGAATTTCGCATGTAGGTAGCTGAAGATTTCGTTTAACATATAGGCTATTCAAAAAACTAAAAAAGTTAATGTGCTTTTTTTTAAAAATAAAAAACCAAAAAGCGTTAGTTCCAGTCTTTTACCGCTAGGGCGCAGCACTGGTCGCGACGATAAATGAATTTGATTTTTTTAAAGCATCGGTGGTTCAGTGGTAGAATGCTCGCCTGCCACGCGGGCGGCCAGGGTTCGATTGCATTTTTTTTTAACAATTTTTAAAACTCATTTATATTATATCTATATTAATAAAATGCAAATTTCATAAGTCTTCTATATAAATGGAAATTTCATAAGTGGTGTTCGCTAAAAACTTTCGTTACAATGCATCAATTTCGACCAAATTTTCAACATTTATGTAAAACGAGATGGAGCAGGTTTTGCTTAACATCAAAATATTTTTCCTAACTTTAAAATACATAACTTTGCTGTTATCGATAAAATACAAAAAAAATTCAACAGAGTTAATTTTATTTATATATAAATACAAAAAAAAATTCAGCAATTCATTCAACTCAATCTAAAAAAATATTCAAAACAAGCAATTTTAAGATAACACCATATGTAAAACAGTCGGCCAAGAAAACAACAACGATATTACATCTTTCTCACATATTCACACACAATCTTGATTAATAATTAAAACTAATCTTTAGCATTGTTTATTATACTTCATAATATATAATATTCGTTAGGCAAACTTTCACTCGGATAAAACCCGGGCGAAGCCGGGTACACATCCGCTAGTATTATTATAAAACAATTTAAATGTGTAACTTGAGCTCGATTTAAACTTTGAAGTGGATTTCTTTTGTTCCAATTCTAAAGCATATTTTTATATGAAAGATGTATTTTACCTTCAACAAGATATCATAATATATTGCAGCCTTAAAAAGAGAGGATTGGAATGAAGCAAACTAATTAGTATACATAGCTTAGCAAGGTATTTACTTCCATCTCATGAGTTCAATGTATGTTCCGACTGTTTGGGTCTTCGGAAAGCGCTTAGGCTTTATATTGTTGCACCGGGTTGCGGCTTGGCAGACTCTTCAGGCATGATTCTCTCTTGTGCTGGGTCTTGCATCTTACCAGAGCGTGTTTCAACCATCCTACAAATTTATATAAGGGAATAATGAGATAAGTCTACTTTTAGTAACCTCCAGAATAATTTATTTATTTTCTCACATCAAAGAGAGCAGTGAATTATTATTATTCTGTACATAACCCGGACTCCTGGAGCGTACGAAAGTCGCCAACTGTCCGGGTTTGTCTTCTGACTTATTGTCTATTTGTTGCAGTTGACATCCAACTGATTAGATGTCGCCAGGCTGTTTTATTTTTGGGGAGGTTCTTCAATGCTTCTTGGTTGAATGTGCTGGTGTTAAGTAGAGTTGCAGTCTGGTATCTCTGAAGATGGTAGGATGGGCAACTGAATAGGAGGTGGTCGACTGTTTGATTTTCTTGGTGACAGTGTTGGCATACGGGGTCGTTGTTTTTGGAGGTTCTGGCGATGTCGGCCTGAACGAAGCCATGTCCTGTCAGAATTGTAGAGGTGACGTTGCAATATTTTAGTTTTGGGAGAATTGAGATTAGAAGACTAGGAGATGCAGCTACTCTTCTGAGGTTTCTTGTAGCATGGTCTGTGGTGTAGAGGTCGGTCCATAGTTGGAGGGCGAACTGTTTGCTTTGAGAGCGGACATATTTCCTGGGAAGGGTTGCGAAGTGTAAAGGCAATTTGGATTGAGCTGCGGCTTTGGCGACTTCATCGGCCTGTTCATTTCCAACGATGCCGCAATGACTCCGGACCCAGCAGAGTTGAACATTGTCCAGAGTATTGAGGTTTCTGATTATCTCTGCAGTAAGTGGGGTTCTAGGGATATCGGGGTGACAGATGGCATGTAGAGCTGCCTGGCAGTCGGAAGCAATGACAAAGTCTTGTCGCGGCATGATCTTAATAGATCTGGTGGCATAGAGAATCGCCAAAAGTTCCGCCTGGAAGGAGGTACAGCTGTTGTGGAGTTTAAGTTTCAGTGGTGAATAGGGAGGTGGGAGCACCACTGCTGCGCCAACCCCGTTGGTTGACCGAGAGCCATCTGTATAAACAATAGTGGCCCGTTCTGGCAGTGACTTGGAGAATTGGAGAGGTCTTCTAAGAGGTGGGTAGGGTACCGAGGAGGGACTGGGACGTGACTCAAAAGGGCCTTCTCTTAGCGCTTCCAAGTATGCTAGATGGGATTTGATAGATATATCCAGTGGAGGACAACCTGTGAGGGAGATTGCTGGGATAGTTGGAGTACACGGGCCTCCTCTGATTAAAGCTTTAGCGTATTTGTAATGGAGGCCACGTAGCTTCCGGATGCCATTGGTGTCAAACACCCGCTTGCCCCAAACCCCAGAGCCATAGAGGATGGCTGGGAGGATCACCATGTTATGTATTTTTCGGCCCGCGCTGAAGGTTAATCCGAACTGCCCCTGGATCGTGCTGGTTAGTCGAGGGAGAATCCACCTGCACCTCTTGAGGATGTTGTCCAGATGACCTACGAAGTTTCTTTTGGAATCAAAGGTAACACCGAGGATTTTTATAGTGTTATCAATTAGAATAGGTTGGTTTTGGAAATGTATGCCGTGATAGCCTGGACGCTTGGCTTTCCAATGGAAGAGGCAGGCTTGGGTTTTCCTTGGGTTGAATGTTAGCCCCTGAGTCTTGCCCCAATGAAAGAGCTGTTTTAGGAATTGATTGATCTCTCGTGTTGGGAATCTGCGGAGGAAGTGAATCAGTACCGTGAAATCGTCTGCGAAACTGATGATTTCACTGTTGTTTGGCCTTGGAAGGAGATGGATTTTTCTAGCCACTATGTTGAAGTAGAAGGGGCTCAGTGCTGCACCTTGGGGGACCCCAAGTAGAGTAGTAGAGGTATGGGTGGCGTTCCAAGCGTTGTAAATTACCTGCCTTCCTCGGAGGAAGCTCGCGGACAGTTGAATCAACTCTTCTGGGCAGTTAAGGTCGCGGAGGCCTTGAATGATGGTGTGTCTTTGAACGGTGTCGAAGGCATGGCTGATGTCCAGACCAATAGCCAAGGTCTTCCTCCAGTGCTGCAGGCCTTCACTGATGTTGTTGTTAATGGAATCGAGCGCCATTTCAGCTGAGCGCCCTGGAAGGAAGCCAAACTGCTGGGGTGAGAACCAGCCTTGGTAATCCGCTATCCATTGCAGGCGCGCCAGTATACACCGTTCAAGGACTTTGGCCAAGGTATTGAGCAGCGTGATGGGACGGTATTTCTCCAGTTGGTTGGAGGAAGAAGAGTTTTGTTTGGGTATGAGAACTAACCGACCGGATTTCCAGGGTGTTGGGAAGTGTCCGAGACGTAAGCATTTGGTGAAAATTTGTGACAGTGTTTTATGCAGCGTTGGCCCACCAAGAAGAAGGCATCTGGTACCTAGCCTGTCGGGACCAGGGGATTTCCTCCGATCGCATCGACGGATCGCGCGAAGGACTTCAGACACTGTAAAGGCTGGTTCTTGGTTGTAGGGTTGGAGCCAATCAATTGATGGGGTTGGCGCTGTCCAGTCTGTTGGAAAATAGTGCTGGAGTACTTCATGGCAGGTTTCCTCTGGGGTGAGTGGGGTGCCGTCGTTGTGTTTGAGCAGAGGTGGCCCAAGAGAACCTCTTCGGCCTTTGGAGATATATCGGTGGATGGAGCTCCATGCGGCCGAGGAGACCTCTTGGCACAGTGTTATAGAGCAGTGAAGTCACACGTGTACCTAAATACAAATGCTGATAATCTAAATAATCTGTTTTAAATAAATATCATAGAATATAAAAATAAATAAATATATAATTTAAATTTCAAATATATTGAAATTATATAAGAAATACGCCATTAATCATGATGTAACACTTCCCCCTCTCCAGAGGTCGTCACGTCCTCGTGAGTTACCTCATCAATTCTCTCAAAATAGGGTTTGAGTCTTGAGACATGGACAATCAATGGGTCTTGGCCAGGATTATCTTTCGGCTCAATTAAGTAATTTACGTTAGACAGCTTCTTTAATATTCGATATGGGCCAAAATATTTTCTCAATAGTTTTTCACATTTTCCGATTTTCCTGACTGGTGTCCAAACTGCCACTAAATGTCCTGGTTCATAGATTTTCTCATTGTGTTTTTTGTCATAGTTTCTTTTCATTCTTTCCTGAGTCTTCTCTGTGTTGTTAATGACTACTTGTCTTGTCCTTGCTATTTTATCTAAGTAGTTTTCTATATATTCGTCGTAATCGTCCATGTTACTGTCCGTTGGGATATTCTCGTCGTCTAAGAGGGACATGGGTTCCCTTCCAAACAACAGGAAAAATGGAGAGTAGCCTGTGGTTTCTTGAATCGTGGTATTATACGCGTGGGTGATAAAAGGGAGGATTTCATCCCAGTTCTTTTGGTCTGTGTTCACATACATGCTGATCATATTGATTAAAGTTCTATTTAGCCGTTCCGTTAGTCCGTTAGTCTGGGGGTGGTAGCTCGTTGTGAAGCAGTGTTTCACTTTGCACATTTTCATTACCTCCTTCATCAAATTGCTAGTGAATTGTGAACCTCTATCGCTAATAAGAAATTTTGGGGCCCCGTGACGTAAAATAATATGTTCGATTAAAAATGTAGAGACTTCTTTCACGGTTGCTTCTGATACTGCCTTTGTTTCAGCATACTTGGTATAATAATCAGTCAACACAATTATCCACTTCCTTCTTCTTTTCGTTGATGGCAAGGGGCCAACAAAGTCAATTCCGATTCTTTCAAAAGGGTAGTTAGCTGGGGGAATAGGTTGTAGAAGTCCAGAAGGCAAGTGATTTGAACCTTTCCGACTTTGGCAAAGATGGCACGTCTTTACAAATTCTGAAACATCTTTCAACATGGAAGGCCAATAGTATTTATTCTTCAATCGGTAAGTGGTTCTGGCGACGCCCAGATGGCCATTCAGCATATGGTTGTGGTATTCACTCATGACTTCCTTCCTTCTCTTCTTTGGCACTACCAGCAACCATGCCCTACCTTCAGGATTTGGATTTTTCTTGTAGAGACACCCATTTTCTTCTTTGAAGTTCTGTGTAATTGAACGCTTGTTTCCACTAAGGTTCTCCTTAATATTCTCAATAAAATCATCTTTTTCGTCTATTATTTGATTCAGAAATAGTCTTTCATAATCTTCGTCCCATTCGT